GATCAAAGACATGCCATCATAATTTGTGAGACCACTTCCTAAATTTAGACATAGATCTGGAGGGGAAGGAAATTTTCTCCAGATCCATGCACCCCTCCTACTGCTCAGTGACCGGCCACAGGACTTACTAGCACGTATATCGCGTGTACTTAATGGGTCTTAGCAAAGTCGTGGATCGAACCACTGGGCTACCTCTGTTCTATTAAAGAACAGAAAGCATAAAATAGAGAAGGACTTAACAAAGATACATCCATGTATGGCGAGATTCAAACACTATACACCAATGCTACAGAGGGCTTCGCGGAGCAGCGAGGCCACTCAACCAGAAAGAGATTTTTTTATTATTTATAATACTTAAACAGGGTTGGTACACCTGGAAAAATTAAAAATGTGGTTGAAATGTCACGACAAAATTTTTTATTTTATTATGTTTGTGACTACCAGAATATTCGAATCTCCATAGTGAAAATAACCTTTAACTTGGAGAACTTTGAGTACTTTTAGCTTTTCAGCTAAAAGACTAAGCAGATATTTTTAAATTTAAAACTAATAGTAGTCCTATTTTATTTTATCTTTTAATAAAATAGCAATTAATAAGTAATTTTCAACTAATTAAATAATTCAGCTAATATTAGTTTCACGATTTTAACCAAATATTTTTATATTATTGTAGGCAATCAGATTATATCGTTTTTATCCTCCTTAAAATAATATTATAATTATTATACTTATAATTATTAATCAATGGTATCGGTATAAAAGTATTATGTGTTGACCATAAGTAGGTGGGCCAACGTTGTTCCCACGAAAAGAAGGACAGATAGTAAAGAAACGAGAAAGAAAGAACATCCGTGCCTTGCCCGGGTTTCGAACCCAGGACCTTTCTGGCACAATCTCATCTCCCTGAACATCATGCTGACCGGTTGGCTGTAATAATAGTTATAATACAAATATAATTTTCACCAGGCGGCCGAGCGGTTAGCGCGCCTGACTGCGAAGCCAACTGCCGCGGGTTCGAATCCCGCTCTGGGCATGGATGTTTCTATCTCTTTCGTTGTACTCTGCTGTGTGTGATGAATGAATGTGGCCCACCCTATGAACGGGTTTGTGGCGTGAGCAATGTTACTCGCCTCCGTGGCTTTGGTTCACAGGTGCCCACTGGGTAAAGCGAAATGAGTAACAACTCTGGCATCTTCTAAGGCGAAACGAATAAAGTTCAGTGCCTGCCATTCGAAAAAAAAAATAATAATACTTTTCACCTATTTCTTTTTTTACAAATACGGTGAATATGGAACATCTTGTATGCACAGCTGATAGTTTTTCTAACTTCGCGTAGGTAAAATTTATGCTTTGATAATTAAATTTTGATTTAAAATAATTTTCACTACCATCATACATGAAAGTCTAAAAACATATACAGTGAGGTCTTGCTAACCAAAGGACATCGTTTTTCAATGTTGTTATGATTTAAAATTTTACTCAGATTTATCAAAGTAATTTTAATTTTACTATCACAAAAAAAAGAAAAAGAAAAAACACCGTGCAGGTTTTGGCTGCTTTAGGAATATAAAATTTGAAAGGTCTAACATTAGTTAACTTCCTTTACTAATTCTTTGTTAGTTTCAGAATCTAGTGCACTTGATGGTAGTTTAAATTCTTGTCTTGCCAAAAGAGAGAGATTTTGAGATTTTAATTTTCATTCTCAAATCATAACGTTCCTTGGAGCTGCTGTTTCCAAATGGTGGGCCGCGGAACCCTAGGGTGCTTTGGAAGGGTGACAAGAGCTTCGAGAGTTAGAACTTTGTTTTTAACCAGTTAACCGATAATTAAATTTATATGAAGTTAATAATTATGTGTTTATTTAATATTTCCGATATTTGTATGAAATGCTTCACGAAAGAAATTTCAAAGCACTGTTTTTTTTTATAAATTATAAAATGAATGAATTAGGAAAGGATATATGTATTTATAAAAAAATATTTGTACTATTTCGCATCGAATAAAATTCGAGATTTTTTTTTATTATTTCTCATTGAATAAAATCAGTTTAAAAATAAATGCAACAGTGAAAACGTCTCTGATAATCCCTTCTCAGCGTTTCTTTTCTTTTTTTTTTAGTTTTTATAGTAATGGAAACGACATTTTATCTCATTTCTTTTACTTATTTTGCATGAACTAAATTAAGAACTAGTTTCAGACTTGTGAATTATACTGTCTGAGATAAAACCCAAATTTAAGGAGATTATTTTAAAACGACTTATAAAACGATGTGATGAAAAAATTTTATTCATCATTTATCCACATTAAATTTTCAAAATAAATAATAAAATTTTGATTATTACATATTTTCAAAATAATTAATAATCTTCTGTTAGTTAACATGCTCACAATCGCTAATGGAATTTGTTCATTAAATCTCGGGGTTCCACCGAAAGAAGGTTCCTCATTAAAGGTTCCACAGCCATAACAATTTGGGAACCACTGCTTGTAAGAGTGGAAAAATCTACAAAAAAAATTAAATTGTGTACTTGATATACTTCGTCACTAATATAAACACTATGTTTCTTCTATTGAACTTATTTTGTAAAATAAATTAAAATAATTATGCATTTATTTTAATTAATTCTACATAGAAAAAAACATTATAGGTATGAAAAAACTATATTTTTTTTAATTTTTTAACCACCAAGTATCACTAACTTTAACATCAAAATTATTTAAATTTTGAATACTTTACAAACTATTAAAACATTCTTACCATTAAATGTAATCAATATAATTTTAATTCACGTTAAGTCACTAAATATAATTGTTGCTAATTATTTTTCAATCGAAAAACTATATTCAGACCTCTTTGTAGGAAAAAATATAAATACATTTTTCGTAAGTTACATTAGCATAGGCTAAAACTTTTTTAAACAAAACTAAGGAAATCTCTAGTTTTGAATAATTTATATTCATACGATTTCAAATAAGAATTTTGTTCGCAAAATAATATAGAGTATCTGGTATCCCAATTCATGAATTATTAATAAAGTGAAATATCTAGTTAGAATAATTTATCAACCAAAATCTAGTTTTTTGGCATTTCAGATTTACATTATCCCCCCCATTCATGTTAACACGTATTTCTCTCTTTAAATAATCATATTTATTCGTCTCACATTTATTTTTAGAAAGAAGAGGCTTTTACAGATATTCTTGATTTGAATATTAATTGCTGAAATTAGTATTAAACATTATTTTAATGTTTCTTAAATGTTAAAAGTAACATCGTACCGGCAGGATGTAATGAGTGAAGGCAGGATGCAATAAAATTTCTGCCAACTTTTAACTCCCTTCAAGAAATCTTTCCCCCAGTACTGAAATAACTATTAATCCCTTGGGATCGTGTGATTCGTAAAAGCATTCGTACAAAATCTGAATGTAAATAAATAAACAACGGTAACTTAAATGTAGGCGTTGCTTATTTGACAGACTTACTTTGCTTTTACTTTAACTATTGTTAGTTTAATGTTATATCAAATCAATGTTAGTTCAAAGTATTACTAAATAATTTTATTTTGAACTAAAGTAGTGGTGAATTAAATAACTCAAACAATTATAACCCCGCCCACAAATAAACTGCTAAAGAACTACTTTGGTTACCAGCTTTAACTTTTTGCCCTGATTGATACGGTTTTATGCTGGCACGCATTTGTGACAGTCGGCGCGAAAGGGTTAAAGCATTCCTGTCAACTTTTAATCCCTTCCATTATGAATTTTTCCAGTGGTATTAAAATGGAATGAAAATTGTAATTTTAAGCCAGAAAATACGTTGTATTTGAAAAAGCTTAAGCTGACAACCATGATAGCAACACATATCAATATATATGCTTAATTTTTTTAAGTATAGTGGTGATCAAAATCATTTAAAAATTAAGTTTATAAAAGAAAAAAAATTATATATTTACTACCACTTTAAATATAAAAATAAAATTTTACGCCAAATGTGTAAAAGTTGGCAGGTGTGGTTAAAGTGATATTGCAGATATGCCAACTGCTCCGCTTTGTGCTAAATTTTAAGAAATTAATAGCGAATTAAATAGTAAAACCTGTATAATAAGGATAATTACACCCACTTTTAATAAGTACTGCCACATAAATGCATTGGTATATCGGAATTACATACATTAGCAGGCTTGTGTGCTCAATTTAGGATTAGAAACCTTTGTCAAATAGCAGGACAGGTTCAAGATACATCTAAGGTAAACAGCGGGATTCGAACCTGCTACCTCCACACTTTGCACATCGTTTGGCGGGCGATACCGTTCACATTGATTCTTGGCTTGAAATTTGAACAGGGCACCTGGGTACTAAATCATTTAAATCGCTAAATCTTTTAAAATGCCATTTTTTTGGTGGTAAATATATTTAACACGACCTATTAGGAACTTATTGACTTTTATTTTTCTTTACTTATAAAAACAAATTTTATAAATGCTACAATCTTCAAAAGGAATTATGTATTTTATAACTTTCATACGTTTTTTTAAACTAACAAAGTGTTACCAATTCTAATTAAACGCACTTCAAGAAAGCTGAAGTTATTAACAAATGGAAATCTAAATTAAAAGTGGTGGTAAGTATACTTCCACGGCCTTCGAAAGGGTTAATGCATAACAAATTTTTTCTCCTGAGGCCGTATCAGCTTTTTACCAATTCATCAAGAAATTTTACATTGAGATAGTACCACGAAAAGATATAAATTTGTAATGGATCAATCCTCTTAAAATGCATGATGCAGTATTTTTAATAAATTTTTAAAATTCTTAAAATTGATGTGGTAACTAATTATTAATATATAATATTTTTAATTTTAAAATTGTGACTGTTGATGGCGGCAAAGAGTCAAATTCGCACTCTCCTTATAATTGATCTCTTATCATTTTAAAAAGCTTTCTTATTCCATAAAAAAATAGAGAACTTAAACGAATTAAAACAAACAAAATAATATTTACCCTCAAAGAACTTCTATTCCATCTTTTAAAATCTATCCCATTTGAGGTGTTGAGCTTAGCTTTGCATTGACACTACAGCACGGGATCTTCAATTAAAGGAGCATTTGCCGTAAATTAGAAACCTTTAAGTAAAGAAGAGAAGAAATAAAATTAGAAAACACTTTTATGAAGACATCTGCTTTGTTTGAAAGAAGAGTTATTTTCTTCCCTCCAAGTAATGATGTAGTTAGTCTCTTTCTATTTAATTAAGACTTTTGTTTTTTCTACATGCGTTACGGTGGAAAACAACTTTTATCGAATTTGGAACGAAATTTATCCTACCAGGGCTCTAAACGTTAAAGCTGTATCTTGAAAAAAAAAGAACTATTTTACTATTAAAAGTTTTTAAAACCCATGGGAAGGCTATTAACCCATTTTGGATTACGGTTGCGAAGTATTGACGTAAAAGTACTTGCATGAAAAAGGTGGTATAACATTTAGGCTTAGTTTTATTTTATATTTACTAGCAATGGTTACTACTTGAGTTTTAAATAATAGTGGTATAATTTCGGATTAAAAGAATAGTTCAAAGCTAAACGCGTATATTAATCGTTCAGGTAGAAATGTTCCCGATTTGATAGCATGTCCTTTTGTTTTTTAAAAATATAAGAACTGGTAACGCAGTTTCTCAATTTTTAGAATTTATCTTGTAGAAAACAAAAAAGAAATTCGTTATTTACATTACATTAACACATTGCAAATGGGTCACGTAAAAATACGTTTTTAAAATTTCTGTGATGCATACAAACAGTGGTAGCAAATTCTAAATCGTTTTTCTAAGAAACTATTTATTACCACTAACATAAATGATTCAGTATAAATGTAATGAGTACTACAATCGTTTGTTGTAAATTTGTTTTTAAACTGAAGTTGTAGCTATAGTTTGCTCTAACTTTTACTAAAATTTTAATCTATTACAGATTTATTACATTTTTGGAAAAGTTGATCACATACAATACGCTGAGGAGCGATGAATCATTATATCCTGTTTTCATCATGTCTATTAAAAATTTTCTTGAAAAAAGTGGTAGCCAACACTAAAATTAAAAGCTTCCTCTTATTTTAGATAAATTACTATTTTTCAAAAAAATACTTTTTACATCAAATGTAAAAACATTATTTTCCGCCTATTTCATCAATGTAAAAACATTATTTTCCGCCTATTTCATCAATATAAAAACATTATTTTCCGCTTGTTTCGGCAAACAAATAGATTACAACACTCAAAACAAATTAAAAGACGAACAAAAATAATGCTACATAAAGCAATCATTAGTTCTGTCTTAACTTATGGATCCGAAACATATGGTCTTTAACTAAATCACAAGCAGATGTGCTTGCTGTTTTTGAGAGAAAAGCCTTGAGAAAGATTTTCTCTTCTATAAATATGGATGGCTTATAGAGACAACGACATCATTTAGAACTATATAGGCTATTCAAGGAAGCAGATACCAACAATCCCATCAAAATAAGCCGCCTAAAGCTAGTGGGTGACATCTGTCGAATAAACACTTCTTCCTTGACATTTAAGATCATCAATGACAAACCAATGGGAACTAGGGTTAGAGGTAAGCCTAAGATCAGACGGCTTAACTGTCTGGCAGAGGATTTCAAAATCCTAAGAATTACTAATGGAGAACAATCGCAAAGAAAGGAGCAGAATGTCGGAATGTTCTAGAGAAAGCTCTGGCACACAAAGGGCTGTCATTCTAATAGAAGATATTACGATATTTCTCTCACCGACCTGCCTGTGTAGGGATCAGAGAACTGGCCTTGAAAGATTCTGATTTCGAATCTCGGGCAAGTCATGGATGTTCAATCTGTGTACTATCTGTCCTTACGGTGGGAGCAACGTTGGCCCACCTAATATAGTGCCCCTGAAAGAGTGGCCATTAAATTATATAGACAATATGGACAGTCACAGATAGTGCAGGTCATCCGAAGCAATAGACTAAGATGGCTTGGCCATATCTGGAGAGATCCAGAAAACAACGCAGTACGAATCGCCACTTTTAAAAATCCTTCTGGATCTCGGGCCAGAGGAAGACCTCCAACTAGATGGCTGGATGACACTACTAAAGATCTCAAAGTAATAAAGATTAACAACTGGAAAAAGTCGCCATGGATAGGAGGCGTTGGAGGCTACGCGTGGTTGAGGCAGCCAAGGCCTGTAAGGGGTTGTCGTGCTAAAGAAGAAGAAGAAAGAGTGGCCAACAAAATCTGCTCTTCAGATAACTATTGACGAAAGGTTATTCCCCAGATGGGCATTTGAAAAAAAAAACAATATTTCTCTGAGATAAATTCTAAGAATAAATTAATTGCTTTGCCAGTAATTATATAATTGATAAAACAAAAATGTTTCAGAAGTGGTGACATTGGCGCTTAGTGGATTAATATTTTATTTGAGGGTTTTTCTTTTCGTTTTTTTTTTTTTTTAAATTTTATTAAGATTACTGGTGATAAGTAGTTAAAATGCGGTAGGAATCACGCAAGTCCGTTAAAAAGCGAACCCAATAAGGACCAACGTTTCCATGAACTCTTTTCAAAAATGTAAAGACTAGCACTTCAATTATTTATTTCTTGAAAGTTTTCTTAAAGGAAAAAAAAGACATTATTTGATCACCATATTTTTAAAAATATATAAATATTTTCATTTTGCAATAATTTTAAAACTAAAAAGGTAACTTACAGTATGATAAATTAGATTAGTCTATGCATAAGTGTCAAACTACTTTCTTCATACGGTGCTTGTTATACGGATACCACACGGGAAAAAAAAAGATCAACCGTAAACGTAACCTGCACTTTACCACTACCATACCTGCCAACTTTTAATCCCATTATCATTTTTCCCAGTGGTATTAAAATGGAATTAAAACTTCAATTTTAAGCAAACAAATACATTACATTTGAAAAATCTTAAGTTGACAACCATGATAGTAATGCATATTAATATATGTGCTTCATTTTTGTAAGAATAGTGGTGAACAAAATCATTTAAAAATTAAGTTTATAAAAAAAAAATAGTATATATTTACTACCACTTTAAATATCAAAATAAAATCTTGCGGAAAATCCGGAAGAGTTGGCAGGTAAGCACTACTCTAAAGGCAATTTCATAGTTCGGAGTTGCCTGTAGGGTTGCTTAATTACCCAAACTGTTGCTCATAACAGTATTACCATTTTTTGTTACTTAGCTTTTGGCTATTATTATTATTTTTTTATGGGATGCTATTATCTCAACGTAAAAAAAGGTGGGAAGTAAATCGTAAATGCTCTAGAATTGATACCCATTTAATTTTATGTATTAACTTAATTGATTTATTGTATTTACTCAAAATTTCATCCGATCATTCTCTTCATCTACGTCAGCGCCATTTTTATTTACATTTGTAAACGTCATAAAAAGCAAGCAAACTGATAGCTCCAAATGTGAGTTGCTCTTATTTATAGGTAATTTTTCTCACAGCGGAGAGATGGCTGATTGACACGAATTCCGCATCCGACTTGCACCGACCACAGTGCTGACGTAAAATATCCTCAGTGGTAGACGGATCATGGGTGAGAGTCCTCTCATCGTCAGGCTAACCGTGGGAGGTTTTCTTCTCCATATAACGCAAATGCGGGTCAGTTCCATCAAAAAATCCTACACGAAGGCAATATTTCTACAAATACTTTTGTATTAGGAGTTCCCTTGTCTTCTGGATTGGGTTCAAAATTACAAGGCTACGGAGTTGAACATTAGTAGTCGTAAATCCAGAAAATTGGGTCGTCTGTTCAGCGAAGGTTTTAAAATAAAGTAAAATAAAATAACAATTATCAAGCCAATGTCTTGCTTCAACAATATTTTACCCCTTCAAAACACAATGCTTAATCAAAGCACGAAACTCTTTTTTATTCATTGTTTTAAAAATTACTAATCTAGGGTCACTTAAACCGCTTGTAACCTCTAAACTGATAATCAGGATGTCATGAAATTTTGACAATTATCATTTGACAGTTGCTACTATTTATTATCCATATGATTCCGATTACAGTGATGCCATTTATGTGTCAGATCGGAGATTTATTTAGTGATGTTTTATACTGGGAAAACTTTATGAAAAAAAGTGGTAAACCATTTATGCTTAGACAAACGATATATTATTGAGTGGTGACTATTATCACAAAGAGGTACCCAAAATTTTAACTCTAAGCCTATATCATATCAAAAATTCAACGTTTTTTTTAATTTTTTTAGAGCACCACAAATTGGTATCACTCAGGGCTCGAAAAAACGCAGAAATTTTACCCGTCCCCGAGGACGGCTTGTCCAACTATGTACCCGTCCTCCTTTGAAACTAACCCGTCGCTTCTAAATAAANCCACATAGCCCCAGGGAAAAGGGGAAATACATAATAAATGCGCAAAATTATTTACAAGTATTTACAGCTATTTACAAAATTTACGGGACAAAACTCCGTCGGATAGGAAAAAGGCGGTTGCCGGGCTATATTTTATGTTGTCTTTGATGAGCTCAAAATCAAAATTTTTAAAGTAATTGCACGTATGACAAGAGAGTGCATCTCTGAAGAAACTTGCACATAGTTCAGCTATGTGCTCATCTATTTTGTTGATTTTTAACTCTCGTCTTAGATCTTTCATTCTCATGGATCTGGGGGCTCCTGTGATATATCTGAGGAATTTATTTTGAGTAATCTCCAGTTTCTTTTTTTGACTAACAGTGGTTGTGCTCCATGCTGTCAGATCGGAGATTTATTGAGAGATGTGTTATACTGGGAAAACTTTATGAAAAAAAAGTGGTAAACCATTTATGCTTAGACAAACGATATATTATTGAGTGGTGACTATTATCACAAAGAGATACTCAAAATTTTAACTCTAAGCCTATATCACATCAAAAATTCAACGTTTTTTTAAATTTTTTTAGAGCACCACATATTGGTATCACTTTTACCGAAATCGTATCAGCGTCATTCTACGGTAAAAAGCCTAATCGCTAGATTGATATTGCCATTTTCTTTTATAATTTTAGTAAAATCGTTTAGTTAATTGTTTTTAATTTTAGTTCCATAAAATACTT